AAACAGGCTCCAGGATCTGAGCCATCAGCCCAGAGCCTGACGCGGGGCTCGAACTCACGGACCGCGAGATCGTGACCTGGCTGAAGTCGGACGCTTAACCGACTGCGCCACCCAGGCGCCCCAACCCTCAACATATTTTAACCTAAACTAGTGGCTAACAAAAGGTGGAGAGCTGGCAGAAACAAGCATGTATGTTTTGGGAATGTTCCCTAGTTTTTCTAATATTTCACATTGGTTCTAGTCCAGAACCACTTTTCTACATATTTAACAGCCAAATTAATTTTTAAAATTCTATTTACACAACTATCAGCATTGGTACAAAATTCCTAATCATTACCAATTTTCATTTCATCTGGTTCTAAAGGTGATACAATTCAAATATGCAGCATTTTTAAAACTCATGTTAAAGCTCGAAGTCATAGATTTTTAGAGTTGAACAGCATTTCAGAGATCATCTAGTCTGAATCTTTTGATTCTTCAAGAAAAAGAAACTGCGACTCAAAAGTATGCCTATGATCACAATCTAGAGAGTAACAGAGCTGAGACCTCAACTCTAATGCCTTGAATCTTCAGTGCCCTTTTCATCAGACCAAGGCGCAGGAGATTCCTCAGCCCCCCCGTGATTCAGAATCACATATATGAGAGCTAGTTAAGAAATTTCCATTTCAACAACTGCTTACTTATTTCAGAACCCAAAAGTCTTAAAGAAAGTAAATATTTATTTTCATAGTATATTAAACATTAACAGAAGTTAAGTTCTGATAATTTAGCAAATACCCATCATATAAAATTCTAAATTATTGCTACTTTCATCTTATTATCTTAAGTTTAAGTAAAATGATCAAATTTCTAACGTTAAATTCTTTTCTTCTACTTAACTACAAACATTGCAGTAGGATTCTAGTGTAGTGTACAAGATCAAGGCTGGGAATCAAGACATCTAGGTTTTTGTCTTAATTTTACAACACTCTGATAGCTTAGTGACAAATATCAATCCCTCTGACTCCATTTCTCATCTCCTGATCAGTGATTATCATATTGAAAGGAACTACTTATTGTAAAAACTTAGTGCCAGGAATATTACCTATATTGTTTCTAATTCTCGTATTTTAGAAGAGAGGCATCATTCACCTATTTTACAGGTGAGGAAACTTAGGCTTGGAGAGATTAAATTTTCCAAGAAACTGAGCTAGTTAGTTAGTAGATGAGCTGGAATTTAACCCTACCTCTGCCTAACTCCAACCTAGAGCCCATGGATCCCTGCATTACACTGTTTTTGCTCAGATCCTAATATGTATGATCCTACTGTGGTTGGGTGAACAAGTACTATCTACATATGCAGGACACTTAGGGAGGTAAAAAGGATAAAACAAAAATACATGCTGAAGAAACATACTGTAGCACTTTCTCCTGTTACTAAACAAAAATGAATTTTTAGTAAAACATTTAAAAACTATGCTACTGATACTATTCTTATTAGTATTATTAACATCAAAGTGAGCACTGTACAATTAAAAGACAAACGGATTTTGCTTTTAGAAGTAACATCGTAAATTATACCATAAAATAGGTATTTTTGTTCCTATTCCATTAATTGAAATAAAATTACTCTGAAAGACCCATTAAATCACATGCACATATTTAAAGTATTTAATAAAATTAGAAAAAAAATGGCATAACCTAACAGAACAGAAGGAATCATGAGAAGATACCAGTTCTTGCCTTTCCAAACAGATAACTATACCCTTCGATATACAAGAGGATGGGCAGATTTTAATACAGGGCATCTCTACAAAGCATTTACATTCCAGTATCAACCTATCTTCACCACTACAGATAGATGAAGATACTATGATACGGCCCCGACAGTCAAGATGCTTTCCCAAGTTTCTATGTCATGTTTATAACAGTAAAATGTTCAGTAGATAGTGTACAACTAATTCTCTGCGTAGAGCCCTTGACTCTTTTCCAAATTTAAATTCGGGGGGGGGGTACCAGATCGATGTATTTCACAGTGATTAAGCGTAGGTTAAAAGCAAACCAGAATTGAAGATTCTGGTTACCTTTAACCTATATCATGCCTTACAAGTAAGAGCATTTATTAGCCCCAAATGAAAACTTCTGTGCGCACTTCGGTTACGTGTCCGAATATGTGACCTGATAACACGACAACTTTGCATAAAAATCATCAATACCTCTATGACTCTGGCTCCTTTCCTAACAATGGCCAACGTGTTAATCTCTGTAATCCCTACACGAGTAATGACTCTGACCACATCAGTTCTTCCGGAGTTACATCCAGATCTAACTTCTCCCCTCCATACTTTTTTTTTTTTTTTAAACCTCCGTTGGAGGCGAAAAACCCGACCGAACCACACAAACCGCGCACTGAAGGGGCGGGCGTTCTTCACCTGACCCACTCCCTGCATTAAACATCCATTCCGTCCGTAACCCTGTAAATCGCAAGAGGAAACTCGGACAAAACTGCAAATATAGAAAACAACACAGAAAGAAAAAGAAGAAACAGAAGAGAGGGAAGACGCGGGGGAGGGCGGAGCCCGCCTGTCAACCTCCAGGGAGCTGAGGTTGGAGTGGAGCGGACCGGGAGGACCCCGCTCCAGAGCAGCGCCAACTCCCACCGCCGCTCCCTCCCCTCACCTCGATCTCGCGGATGTTGTTGGAGGTGACGAAGATGCCGATGCCAATGGGGATGAAGATGAGGCCGATGATGAAGAAGGTAGGTAGCACCGTGCCAGCCGTAAGAATGGGCTGCCAAGCCGGCAACCGTTGCTGTTTGAAGGCCGTGTTATCCGGCCTCCGGTTCTTAGCGGTGCCCCCAGGAGCACACGGGGGCCCACCATCCACTTCATCCTTCGCGTTATAGTTCATCGCCATCGACCCCCACGGCGCGGCTCCGCGAAGCGCAGGTGGACCACCCAGGGGACCCGCCTGCTGACCCTGACAGAAGACGCGCAGGCGCAGGCGCCGCCGCCACCTCCTCTGTAAAGGCGGAAGAGGCGGGACACCCTTCCGCAGACTGCCGCCGACCGGAAGCGGGAGTCGGCTGGGGACGCCAGAGGGAGGGAGAGAGGAAGGAGGGAGAAGACTGAGGGACAGGGGGAGGGGAAAGGGGAGGAGGGTAGAAGGGGGAGGGAAGAGGCGGACGCACCCTGATCATCTGCCCTGTGACGACAAAGTGAGGGCCTCAATCCCCCAGAGCGTGGACCTACGTTGCGCCTGCGCCGCCCTGGGAGCGAAGAGGTCTCGACGCTTACGCCGTACGCTTGTTTTAGCTCCTCGCGCCGAAGCTTCTGCTCTCACTCACCTGACTGTTGCTGTGGTTATCATGGCGAGGGCCGTTTTGGGACGCAAGTCCAGCCCACTGGGCCCAAATCACCTTCTTCAGCCCTGGAGCTGCTGAAGTCTTTCTGGTGGCTTTGGCGCCAAACAGGTTTTTGTCTTGCCTCGAAGCCCTCTGAGGAGTATCGGAGCATTTGAAAGACCACACCAAGCCTGGTGGGATTGGCAGTATTTGCTTAAGTTATAAAACCGCGACTTTCTCTTAAATATATAAACCTCTACTCAAGGCGCAAACGTAAACGTTAAAGTGAGATGCGTGATGAGTGACCCTACTGTACTGTAAGAATAAATCCTACCAGATGGTGAACGCTATTAGCTTACCTCTAAGCTATTTTCTCTTCCATTAATGGTCTTTATGTTAACTTTTACCTTATTTTCTGTGTCTGCGTTTCTCCTTTGCACTTTAATAAGTTTCTTGTAATAAGCTGTAGCTTTTTATTTTACTATTGATAATAAAAAAAAAACCTCAACGAATTATGGCAACACTATAAAATGAGATACTATGTAGACACCTTAAAACTGCTGAGTACTTAATGACCCTCGGAAATATTACTGATATAAAAAATAACTAAATTACACCTAAATAGTATAAAGCCCAACTAAAAAGTAAATAGTGGTAATATCCATTGACTGGATGGAGGATACTTTTTCTCTGTTTTTTGCACTTTTGTATTTTCCACAATTCCTGCAATAAGCATAGATTTGTTTTTGTTTTTGTTTTTGTTTTTTAGTTTATTTATTCTGAGAGAGGAAATCCCAAGCAGGCTCCAAGCTGTCAGCGTAGAGCGCCCATGAGGGGCTCCATCTCAGGAACAGTGAGATCATGCCCTGAGCCAAAATCAAGAATCAGATGCTTACCTGACTGAGCCACCCAGGTGCCCCAATTTTTTTTTTTTTAATTTTATACAAGTCACATTATATTGGAGTCTTTGAAACCGAAACCAGAAAGTAAATTATAGTATCTGAAAACAAATACCCAAACTTTATTATCTGTTAGGCTTTGTCTGTATTTATGCCTTTTGTAAGGTAAGCCAAGGAAAGGGAAATGAAGAGTGTTTGGGCCTCATAATTTACAATTAAATACATTTTCACAATGACTACAAGTCTCAAGATGTGAGCCAATTAAGATCTGGCAGATAATTGGCTTGCTTGGTTTTGCCCTTATATGACATCCATTATCTCTCAAATTCTTAGCCCTGTTGACATAGGTGGGTCTATTTTGTTTTGATCTGTGCAAGTTTACTTTTAACCTAAGGCTCAAATGGAAAACATTCGTCTATCACAGTTAATGGAGAAGGCATGGAATGCCTTTATTTTGCTAAGTCCTGTCAGTAAAACTGTGTATAACAATATTAGACATACTGCAAAAAATAAAGCATGAGGCACATTTTTTTTTCTCCCCGTTTTGGCCTATATTATCACATCCACTAAATGTCATAGTTCCTTAAGAGTTTTGCTATTTCAGCATTCTGTGTAAATGGTCAGTTATTTTGCCCTAAGATTTTTGTTGTTCTGTTATGGAACCTGGTCTGGATCACCCCACGGAAGAACCAAGCTACACTTGGATATCTTGGAAGGCAGGAGGTTTATTTTATACCGGTGGGCTCAGAGATCATTCTTCAGAGGTCTGAGAGCATCAACAGAGGGGACAGTTGATAGTCTGTTACTTCCACATTCTTCATTAGTAGTAATTTGGCGCCAGCCACGAGCAGGGTGGGAAGAAAAACCCAGAAGGGGAGTCTTCAGGCAGGGACTGCAATTCCCCTATCAGTCCTGTTGGCCATCTTATAACAGGTTTTTCCCTATCAGTTCTAGTGATCTGAATGATGGCAATATGTTTATCTGCTTTTTTTTTTTTAGTTGTGTTTGTCATAGCAAAGATTAACAACTTGTCTTTTTTTTTTCTTATTAGAAATTCTATTTTGACTGAAACAGTTGTAAAACTGAAAGCTTCCTTAGATTCCTTACATTTTCCTTTTTCAAAATCTCTTGATGATAACCTTAGAGTTCCTTCCCTCCCCCCTTCCTTCCTTCCTTTTTTAATTTAAATTCTAGTTAGTTAACATACAGTGCAATGTTGGTTTCAGGAGTAGAATTCAGTGATTCATCACTTACATACAACACCCAGTGCTCATCGCAACAAATGCCCTCCTTAGTACCCATCACCCATCTAGCGCATCTCCCACCCACCTCCCTCTGTCAACGCATAGTTTGTTCTCTATCATTAAGAGTCTCTTGTGGTTTGTTTCCCTCTATTCTTTTTTCCTCTCCTTCCTGTATGTTCATCTGTTTTGTTAAATTCTACATATGAGTGAAATCATATGGTATTTGTCTTTCTCTGATTGACTTCACTCAGCATAATACATTCTAGCTCCATCCACATCATGGCAAATGGCAAGATTGAATTTTTTGGATGGCTGAGTAATATTCCACTGTGTGTGTATACACACACACACACACACAAACCAACATCATCTTTATCCACTCATCAGTTGATGGACATTTAGGCTCTCTCCATCATTTGGCTGTTGTTGATAATGCTGCTGTAAACATTGGGGTGCATGTACCTCTTTGAATCTGTACTTTTGTATCCTTTGCGTAAATACCTAATAGTTCAATTGCTGGATTGTAGGGTTGTTCTATCTTTAGTTTCTTTAGGAAACTCCATACTGTTTTCCAGAGTGACTGTACCAGTTTTCATTCCCACCAACAGGACAAGAGGGTCACCCTTGCTCTGCATCCTCACCAACACCTGTTGTTTCTTGTGTTGTTAATTTTAGCCATTCTGATAGGTGTGACATATCTCATTGTGGTTTTGATTTGTATTTCCCTGATGACGAGTGATGTTGAGCATCTTTTCATGTGTCTGTTAGCCCCTCTGGATGTCTTCTTTGGAAAGGGTCTATTCATGTCTTCTGTCCATTTCTTAACTGGGTTGTTTGTTTTTTGGGTATTGAGTTTAATAAGTTCTTTAGAGATTTTGGATACTAACCCTTTATCAGATATGTCATTTGCGAATATCTTCTCCCATTCCACAGGCTGCCTTTTAGTTTTGTTGATTGTTTCCTTCACTGTGCAGAAGCCTTTTTTCTGGATCAAGTCCCAATAGTTCATTTTTACTTTTCTTTACATGTCTAGTAAGAACTTGCTCTGGCCAAGGTCAAAGAGGTTTCTGCTCTTACAGTTCCTTTTCCTCCTTGTGCTGTGCCATCACAATATGCTGCTTTACCGAGCTAACATTTTTTTTATATCCACATCATTATTTCAGGGGACTCAATTTTATAATTTCCGTAGTTACACATTGTTTTATGATACTCCTTACCAGGTAGGTTTTGTTTGTTTGTTTGTTTTTGTTTTTTAATTTAATCTGATAAAGTAGAAATTCTTTTTTTTTTTTAATTTTTTTTTTTTAACGTTTTATTTATTTTTGAGACAGAGAGAGACAGAGCATGAACAGGGGAGGGTCAGAGAGAGGGAGGCACAGAATCTGAAACAGGCTCCAGGCTCTGAGCTGTCAGCCCAGAGCCCGACTGTGGGCTCGAACTCACGGACCGCAAGATCATGACCTGAGCCGAAGTCGGCCGCTTAACCGACTGAGCCACCCAGGTGCCCCATAAAGTAGAAATTCTTAAAGGAAAATGTTAGTCAGCATTTCTAGCGTAACAAAAGCCGGTGGTTGTTCTCATAGTGGATTACCAGTATATGCATTTCTCACTGTAGGTATGACTGTGTGTGTGTGTGTGTGTATGTGTGGGTATTGATACATTTAGATAACATTTGTGTTGTTCAAATGATTGTTCACTTGCTGATTCCTAGTAAAATAATTTATATGGCTAAATGATTTTGATTAATGCCAACTACCAGATCATTGTAATAAGTATGCAATGATTGCATAAGCCCAAATATAAAAGTAAATCCAAAACAATAAAGCAGTCAAACCCCATGATCTGAAAAGATGTATGTAAATAGCCTTTGGCAGGGTAGTTTTATAATATTTTTTTTTTTAGCTCAATTGCTCTGTTCAAGTTACTGAACTAGTTAACCAGAAACATTAAGGTAAAAAATATTGAATAATTATTGAGTAATTTAAAGAAGAAGAGGAAACTGAAACTGGGCTTTTTACTGTTTAGCCAAAGTGCCAGATTTGCTCATTAGACTCTTTTGAGTGTTTGAGTCTGCTTTAGCTCTCTAGCTTCTAGCCATATTTAAGCCATTTCATTCCCATGTGTAGTATAACAGTGTTCCAAGACCTCAAGTTAAAGAGACCTAAGAAATGTGCTATAATTTTTACCAGCATGAATTTAAGAGAAAGTTCTTAGAGACTGGAAGTGGTTTGAATTGTTTTTAGTGACTATGTAGTATTTTTGCTTGTTTATTTTTGAAGCAAAAAAATTTTTTTTCTATTCAGTTAATGGCAGCTTACTTTAGAGAACTTTGGTGGGACTAAATATTCATTCATAATTGATAAGATTTTTAGGAAAAAGATCATATAGAATTTGTAAAATAAATTTAATTTGTTATATTTATTGCATCAGAAATTGATTCCAACTGACATTGAAAATTACTACTTTTAAAGTTGACTTCTTCCTGCCTTTTTTGTTGTGTATTTATTAAACCTTTTCAGTTAGGCATTTAAGAAAATTCTTTTGTTTTCACACTGAGAGATCTGGTTAGCCTGAGGTCATTGTGCTGAAAGCTTTTGCAAGTTCATGAATAATAATCATAGTAGTCAGAAACACAGTCAAACAAAATATTTTAATGGTTAGTCTCATTAGAAGAAAGAGTAGACAGCCTAAGAACTTTGTTTAGGGAAGGAAA